CCAGTATAGCAGAAGGAAAGGTGTGCAACTCTAGAATCAGAAAAATACTAATCAGTACAATAGTAAGATTGAATTATACACTCATTAGGGAGATGAAGCTAAAAGTTTTAAAAGCCTTGTCAAGTCATACACTACAGAATTTTTGAAATGAGAAAAATGCTTCATTCAGAATGAGTATCATAGTTTTCCCTCTTTCTTTAGACTTATATTAAGAGTAGGGAATATATATGAGTAATATTTTGCCTTTTGCAAATTAATTTATGAACAAATTAACTAAAAGCCCAAATGTGCTTATTTATTTAATGAGTTGTAAATATTTTAAGATATCTGTTCTCACTTAAGATAGGAAATGAAGATATATGTGTGATAAAACTTGTGCTGTGTGGTAAAAGTAGCTTAAAATTAACTTGTATTTGTCCTTTGTTGCAATAGAATTGTCACCTGTACTTAAGCCCCTAAAGTTTCCCTGACAGTAACACAATGGAAAAAATCCAAATATTTATTGCTTATTTACTGTTCTGTAAGTTAGTCTGCTGTGAAGTTTTCTAAGTAGACTTAGAGTAATAATAATCATTGAGCAGAGTCATTCATAGCTCTTCCATGAATCTTCCACATCTTGGAAATGCTTGATTTGTAGCCTTACTGAACACCAATGAAAAGACTTACTTCTATATCAATTTCAATTAATAAATTTTGAATAACATGACAGTTTCTATTTCTGTGTCTTCATATCTCTGCAGGTATACAAGCTCAGTGGAAGTACAGATACCCTATGCTTTTATTTTTCTTAAATTAACCTCAAAACTCTCAGTAGACCAAGAGCTTGTTGTTCAGCCTATGTTATTGTTAGCCTACCTTGCGTCCTCCAGGGTTCTCAACTGTTCCATGAGGCTTGGTGAAGCAGAATGTGTGGAAAGTGCCCATTTTTCTTTGATCAGTCTTAAACACAGTTGGTCATCATCTTAGTCTACTTGGTGTCTGGAAGACAGGTGATTCCGTTGCTTTTATCCCAAGTTTGAAATATTTGTTGAAGCTGGGCTCTGGAGTCTAGCCTAATTATATTTCATGAAGCCATTCATTCATCAAAGACCCATGATGGCTGCTATTTGTGGATCTTAAATTCTTTCTATAGGTTTAACTATATCACCTTCTAAGAATTTCATATTCTTACTTAACAGACCTGAAATATCTACCACAACCAACTCAGTTTCAGGTTTTATAACAAAAGA